TATTAACTTTTAAAATATATATTCAATTCAATAGTTATAATAAGGAATGATATTAAAATGTAATTAATACATGTAACATGACCATAAATAATCAACATATTTATGGTAATCTGAACCTAATTATTTTTGGTTTGGAATTAAATTAAAATTTATCCAAGCCTAATAACAAATCATGTAGTTTTGCCACATAGGATTCTGAAGCACCAGAAGCAGTCACGCAGGCTCAGCGCGTTCTGGATTAATATATAGAGGGATTAGTTTTTATTGTAAAGATGTGGAATTTACCACTAATCATTTACATTATTATATTAGGATGTATTGAATTGTGTGCCAAACTTTGCCTATAAAAGGCAAGTAATATCTTACAAAGTGCTGTACAAAAAAGAAGAAGAGAGAAAGGAAAAGCTTGTAACAATTTGTATCCTGTTTTTACATAATGTTCTTTATTTTCATCGCATTTTATAACACGTTATCAGCACGAGCGCTCTACCCGGTCAAGAAAGGTAGGATATATATACATATTACCATTATTCTTGACAAGTTAGGCTCTGCCACAGTCAAATATATATATACATATTACTATTATTTTTGACAAGTTAGGCTCTGCCACAGTCAAAGATATATATATTACCATTATTCTTCACAAGTTAGGCTCTGCCACAGTCAAGATATGTATACTAAATATGATATTATCTACACATTACCATTATTATTGACAAATTAGGCTATGTCATAGTCAATAATATGTGGTGATATGATATTATTAAATTTGCTTATGAATTATTATTCAAGTTATAATAAGTATTATTACTTATACTTAACACCCACAAAAATGGCTTACCCAGTAATGTGGCGTGAAATTTATAACTGTTTATTCTTGTACCCACCGAAAGATTTATCGAGTAGTGCAGAGTGACATTTTTATTTGATTTGTTATTAAATTGTTTACGTAATGACTCGGTGAATTTTTAAGGTAATATACATGATTAATTAGAATTTTATGATCATAAATGATTAATTAACAAATATTATATCATTAAATTTGTTTCCAACGGCTAGTTAACGATTATTTTTGTAACGGCTATTTACCAATATCTATATATAACACTACAATTCATTTTCATAATCCAAACACTCAAAATATATTTTTTTAAGAAAAAATAAATGTATGATCTATTACTTATAATTACCATTATCTTGTTTATTATGTACGTTTTGCTAATTTTCACGATATCGTACTGTTGGATTTAAATTTTATGTATTAGGCCTTTGTATAATGTGTTTAGTATTTGCTCTTTTGTATGTATTGAAGAATTAATGATTGTATATGTAATTTTTCGAATCTAAGCATTGATATTTTATTTTATAGTTATCATGGCAAATCTGGTCAAACTCGAATTTGAAACTCTCGATATATCTGGGAAAAATTATATCTCGTGGACATTGGATGCCGAAATTCATTTGGCGGCAAGAGGATTGGAAAAAACAATAATATCCCCAAATGATTCATCAATACAGGATAAAGCTAAAGCAATGATATTTCTAAGGCATCATTTGAATGAGGCATTGAAAAATGAATATTTAACTGTAAAAGATCCTGCAGATCTCTAGAAAGCCTTGAAAGAAAGGTATGTTCACCAGAAAATGGTGATTCTCCCCCGGGCTCGTTATGAATGGATGCATTTACGCTTCCAAGATTTCAAAACTGTAAACGAGTACAATTCATCCATGTTCCGCATTTGCTCGGTATTGAAATTATGCGTAGAAAACATAACTGATTACGATATGCTGGAAAAAACATTGTCCACGTTCCACGTCTCAAATGTACTTTTGCAACAACAATACAGAGCGAAAGGCTTTGTAAAATATTCTGAGTTAATTTCTTGTTTGCTGCTGGCTGAACAAAATAACGAGTTGTTGATGAAAAATCATGAATCTAGACCTACGGGGTCTACTGTGGTTCCTGAAATAAATGCTGTAATATCTAAACAGGGAACCAGAACTGAAAACAGCCAAACATATGTGCGTGGATATACCTCGGGACGTGGCCGGGGTCGTGGACGTGGACGTGGGCGTGGCCGTGGATATGGTCCAGATCGCCGATTTGACCGAGGCCACAAATTTCACCCAGGATATAACTCGGGCCGGGGATATAATCGTGGACGAGGCCGTGGCTACGCCCAAAATTTTGAAAGGGGGAGAAATTTCCAGCCAAAATTTGAACAGAATAATGTGACGAAGAATAATGATGAAAAGGCATGTTATCGATGTGGGAAGACGGGACATTGGGCACGCAATTGTCGTGCCCCGAGACAAGTTGTTGATAATTATAACAATTCCCAGAAATCAAAAGATAAGAATATAGAAACCAATTTTATGATTGGGGAACCCTCTGAAAATGATTCAACACGTGTGGATGATGAATATGACATCGATGACATATTGAACTTGAATTTTGCGGATGCGGTAGTTGAAGACAGAGCTGGAAATGACCACGAGAATAACTGATGATCATTATTTTATTGCTTTCTAAGTTTTGGTTGTATGTGTGTGCTTTTATCTGTATTTCGATTTTAATCAATAATAAATGTTGTTTTCTTTTAGATCATGGATCGACCTCGAATCCAAAATGAAGATATATGTCTTGCAGATTGTGCCACTAATCATACTATACTCAAGGACAGCAAATATTTCGTCAACTTGAAATTAAATAAAGCAAAAGTAAACACAATATCCGGAAATGCAAAGATAATTGAGGGTTCTGGAAAGGCCATATTTTTTATGATGGGAGGTACAAAATTTATATTGAATGATGCATTATTCTCCCCAAAATCAACAAGAAACTTGTTGAGTTTTAAAGATATCCGAATAAACGGATACCATGTTGAAACAATGAATAAAGGGAAGTTGAATATCGTTGCATTACCTCAAGTATTGCGGGAAATAAATATGTTTTGGAGGAATTACCAGCTTTATCCTCGGGCTTATATTACACCCGCATTCATATTATCGAGACTTATGCTGCAACAAATTCACAGTCAGTTGAAATATTTAAACTTTGGCATGATAGACTTGGTCATCCTGGCTCAATAATGATGCGAAGAATTATTGAAAATTCTAGTGGGCATCCATTAAAAAATCAGAGGATACTGCAAACACGTGAATTGACATGTGTCTCATGTTCTCAAGGGAAATTGATAATAAGATCATCACATACTAAAGTCGAGCATGAATCACCATTATTTTTGGAAAGGATTCATGGTGATATATGTGGACCTATTCATCCACCTTGTGGTCCATTCAGATATTTTATGGTGTTTATTGATGCTTCTAGTAGATGGTCTCATGTGAGTTTGTTATCCACTAGAAATGTGACATTTGCTACTTGCCCAACTTATTAAATTAAGGGCTCAATTCCCAGATTATATTATCAAAAGAGTCAGACTTGACAATGCTGAAGAGTTTACATCTCAAGCATTTAATGATTATTGTATGGCAGTGGAAATTGATGTTGAACATCCTGTAGCACATGTTCACACTCAAAATGGTCTAGCAGAATCATTGATTAAACGACTGCAACTTATAGCCAGACCATTGATAATGAGGACAAAACTCCCCACTTCAGTGTGGGGACATACTATTCTGCATGCA